ACCCAACTCCTCACCTCACAGCAGGTCTGCCCACCCTGCTCCTTCCCGCCCCCGCCCTTTCCCTCCAGCAAGCCCATTCTGACTCCTTCCCCCAAGACCCGGGCGCTCCTCTCAGCCTGCTTCCCGCCCAGCCTTCCCGCCCGCCCGCTCCTCCCCGGACTGAGCCACGTCCAGCCGCTCACACCAAAGGCTATCCTCTCGGGGCGCGGGGCCACTACTCACCTCACAAACTTCAGCCCCTGAGACGGAGCCCGAACGTTACACCGGAACCGGAAACCTTCCAGTGGCCCTGCGGCCCCCCCCCCCCTCCCGCCACAGCCGCCGCCACGCTGCTACCCCCACAGCACGTGACCAGGGAAGGCGGGACCACGGCTGCGCAGCCACGGTATTCTGGGACCGGCGGCGAGGCGCATGCGCAACGGGATGCTAATGATTAACCCATTGACTGCCGGCGGAGCGCGGTTCCTACGTTAGTCCCGTCATTACTGCTGGAGCAGAAGTCGGTTGGGAGCGGTTTCCCTCGCGTCAAGAGTTAGTGCGCTAAAATTACTGCTAGAACTAAAGGTGGGGACTTCCACATTCGTGCTCAAAAATGTCCTTTCTTGTAAAAACACACAAAAAAGTTACAATCACTACCATTAGCCACCCCTCAACTTTTCCTCCCTAGTCTAACGCAACAAAAAGAACACATACTCAAAGCTATCCCCATGGCTTTCCATCCACCAGTGAAACACCAACAAGACATGCCTCGCTTCCTATGCATGCCCTGCTTTAATTTCATTTTTATGCTTATGAAGATCTAATTTCCCCACACTTAGTATTTTGATTGCTTACTCAGGCTCAGAGTGTGGATCACTTCCTTGCTTGTCGCTTTCCGCCTTGCGTTGCTCTTTACAAAGAAACCTACAAGATTTGCAGCCTGCTCTCCGCGTTTCTGTTCATATGGGCCCAGAGAAACCTTTCTGGCCACCCTATTTAAATTTTGATACTCGACACTCTTGATTTCCTTTTATTACTGTACATATAGTATAATCTATATTCATACAAGTTTACTTAGGCATAGACCTTGTTCTCTGACTCCTTTGTTCACTGATATATCTTAAATACTTAAAACTCACACAATTAAGTACTTGTCTACCGTGGCAGGTCCCCAACTACACCCCCTCTCCCCCTACACACACATGCAATATAGAAAAACTTTAACGAAAGGAAATTCTTCTGGGAAAGGTGGGGGAGTGGATTTCAGTTAGACGAGGGACATCAAAATGCAGTTAGGTAAGCGAGATTATTTCGGGTGTGCTACGGCATGTTGGTGCCCAGCTTTAACTTCATGTTTATGCTCATAAATACACAATTTGCCAGTACTATTGTTTGTTTTGCTTTGAGACGGGGTCTCATGTCATCTAGGCTGGCTTCAAACTCAATATGCAGTGGAGGATGGCCTTGAACTCCTGATGTTCCTACCTTCATTTTGTATTTATTATTTATTAGTTTTTTGTTTGAGATGGGGTTTCTCTGTGTAGCTCTGGCTGTCGTCCTGGAACTCACTATGTAGACCGGGCTGGCCTCAAATTCAGAGATCTGTCTGCCTCTGCCTCCTGAGTACTACTAGCATTAAAGGTGTATGCCACCACCAGGCCTAGCTTCATTTCTTAAAAGACTGAGATTACAGGCCTGAATCACCAAACCCAGCTCTCACAGTTTTTGTGTACTGTTGTACCCATCCACTTCTGTCCCTTATGTCAGTATCCCATCTAGTATGTTTTAATATATTATTTAATGCTCCTGATACCCTTTGAAGAAGAGATTCCTGTTTTCCTTCTCTGGGGTCTGTTTTCTTCAGATTGGCTTTGAATTCCTGTGCTCAAGCAACCCTTATTTTGCAGTTTAAATAGTTAGGACTATATGTGTGTGCCACTGTGCCTGACTCCTTTCATCAATTTTTTTTTTCTGAACCTTTTTGAGACAGGGTTTCTTTGTGTAACAGTCCTGGCTGTCCTAGAACTCACTCTGTAGACCAGGCTGGCCTCAAACTCAGAGATCCTCTTGCCTCTGCCTCCCAAGTGCTGGGATTAAAAAAGTATGAATGTTTGCCTGCACGCCAGAAGAGGGCACCAGATCTCCTGACAGATGGTTGTGAGCTACCATGTGGTTGCTGGGAATTCAACTCAAGGACCTCTGAGCCATCTCTCCAGCCACCAGCCAGAAAACATGGAGGAATCACAGCCAGTAACTGAGAGACTAATACTTACTTTAAATTCATCTGATTAAATAGTGAAAATAAAATCAGTTCCTCTAAAAACATTTCCCATATAAAATTGAATCTAGATTGTTAAAAAGCACTGAAAAATGGCAAGTCATGTTGGCTCAGGCTTTTAATTCCAGCACTTGAGAGACAGAGGCAGGCGGATCTCTGTGAGCTGAAAAATTACACAGTGAGACCCTGTCTCAAAAAAAAAAAAAAAAAAAAGTGCTGAAAGAAATTTAGAATAATTTAGAATTACTGGAAATAATCCCAATAGAGAAACCTGGAATATATTAATCAGAACACATTTGGGGGGGAAATCCATTTTATACTTGAGAAACTTTCAGCACTATCATCAAGGACCCTTTTTGTCAGATTCTTTTGAAAGCTAAGATGGGAAAACAGCCCAAACCAGGTGTGTTTGTTTAGAGACTGCACACTGCAGACGGTCCCTCAAGCTCTGAGCACTTGAGCTATGGCAGCAGAAGTCTCCAGCTTTACTCACATGAAGTGAGCAACATGCACAGGTGCTGAGACAAAATGTGGCCCCAAATAACCATCTTGGGGTTGTGCTGGATAGGAACAGGAGCAGTTTGTAGAAGCAACCCATGCTTAGTCTTCCCAAATGGAAGTTACTGTCAAAACGGCTGCCCTCCACAGACTGCATTTTGTGATATGCTGGCCCTAGCTGTTGTACATGTCCATGCCACCCTACCTTGTCACTCAAAAGGCGGGCTTCATTCTGTTCTGTCATGCTACCCTAGCAGGGAAATTTAGCTGGGCAAGGTGCCCCATGCCTGAACTAATGACTGGGCTCTACTATTCAGGAGGCTGATGTAGGAAATTATTTTTTTGTTTTTGTATGTGACACCAAAGACAAAGACAACAAAGCAAACTGTACTTCATGGCTATGGAAAACTTCTGTGCATTTGGTTGGGCATGGTAGCAGATGCCAGCAATCCCTTGGGAGGCTGCACCAGGAGAAAGTTCCAAACCAGCCAGGGCCATTTCACAACAAACAAGCATCAAAGGAAACAATCAGTTGAATAAAAAGATAACCCAGGGTGGACAGCAACATCTGCATGTCAGGGATCTGATGACAGACCTTGTCACGAGAATGAAACAAACAAACTCCAGACTGGTGGCCAAAAAATAACTTCTTCAAGGGAGATGTGGTGATAAGCTCATGAACGGGCTCAGCAGCAGCTCTATCAGAGAAGGGGCAAACCTGTAACATCAACTGGAGAGGATCCCCCAGCTAGAGTATACCTTTGAGACCAGCTAGGACTCTAGAAAGCTAATGTGTTTCACCACAAGGGGGCAATGTTTACACGCTAATTTTAAATTCTAGCCCTTAAATCCATGCAGAGAAGGTAGTTTCCAGGGAGAATACCAGCTAGCCTTTCTGCCTCTTCTACAGGTGCGGGTGTCAATTCCTGGAATACTGGAGATGCTCCAGTCACGAGACCAAAAATGGGAAGCAGATGGCAGCAAAGAAACAACAGCAGGCTTTTTTAGTGGGGTCAGAATGCTTCCTGCGGGAAGGTGCTGGCAGTGGGAACTTCCAGCTAGAGGCTGAATGCATACAGGACAAAGGTTTGGCTCTAGCAGGAATTATAACTACCCACAGCACCATTAATGGTTTGCTAGGCTTGCCCTTCCAATTCAGACCTCAGGTCCTACAAGCATTGCACAGGTCTGACGCTGACACTGTACTTCTCATTCCAAGCACCTCTACTTTCTTTTCACTGTTCATTTACTGCTGTTTTTTGTTTTTTTGAGACAGGGTTTCTCTGTGTAACAATCCTGGATATCCTGGATCTTGCTTTGTAGACCGGCTCGCCTCAAACTCACAGAAATCTGCCTGCCTCTGACTCTGAAGTGTTGGGATCAAAGGCGTGTGCCACCACCACCCGGCTCATTTGCTGCTTTATGATCCACCTAGTGCATTTTCCCTCTGCACTCCCTCTCTTAGCCCCTCAGAAAACTCAAGGACAGAAACAGAGTTAGCCTTGTTAGGTTTGTTCTTGGGATTCTATTGGACAAGGATTTCAGCAGTTCTGTGTTCTAGAATTTAGTAAGAATACATACATACTTCTACTCAGAGGGTCGAGGGTTACTTAGTAAAGAGTCTCATCTGCATTTCCAGTGAGACTTGCTTTGGGGCTCACAAAAATTGAGCAGGAAACACAGTCTATTTTTTACAGCTGGAGCTTTTCCTGGCCTCCCCTAGACTCTGTGAAACGGAGTTTTAAGATTCTAAAAGCACAGCAATGTAGCCGGGAAGTGGTGGAGCTCATTGTTAATCTGGCCACTCAGGAGACAGAGGCAGATGGGTCTGCAAGTGTGAGGCCAGCCTGGTCTACAGAGTGAGATTCTGTGTCAAAAGAACAACAAAACAACCTCTTCCACAAACAACAAACCCAAACCAACCAAATAAACAAACAAAAAACAAAACAGCAATTTAACTAAATACTAACTACTTCACTTACTTAATTTGATGAATATTTGGCTTATATGTATGTCTTGTGTACCACATGTGTATCTGGTACCTGTGGGGTCAGAGAAAGAATTCCCTTGGACCCGGAGTTACAGTTGTGAGCCACCAGGTGGGTGCCAGGCATTGAACCCAGGGCCTCTGAAAGAACAGCCAGTGCTCTTAAAAAGATGAGACATCTCTCCAGTTCCACATTCACTAAAATTTTATTTATATTTTCTGTATAAAATGTTTTGCACACAGACAAACCCTGTCTTGAAAGACAAAAAAAAAAAAAAAAAAGTTTTGAGTATGTGTACTACGTACTTCCAGAGGCCAGGTGACGAGAAATCCCCTGGAACTGAAGTTAAAGACCTTGTGAGCCAGCCAGTAGGTGTTGGAACCAAACCAAGGCCCTCTATAAAGGAGCAAGCTCTCTTAATTGCTTAATATACACATTTTTGTCACCATGGTTTCTAGAACTTTTACAAATCTTTATAAACAGAAACTTTACCCATTACATAACTACTGATTGGCCCTTCTTACTGGCAACCAGTATTTCTGCTCCTATTCCATTTTTTGATTAATTTTTTAAATAAAAGTGTCCATTGTGGACTGATGAGATAGCTTCTATATGTTTAAGCCTTCTTGTTCCTGTGTGATTGAGTTTACTGAAGAGAAAGGTAACAGAGAATGGGGTTGGATGAAGAAAAGACATAGCATTAATGGAGGCCTTCTATCCATCCGCAGGCCTTAGCTGCCCTGCCACGGATCTGCCCGGTTCTTCCGCATCAAGAAGTTAATCTTTCGAGCCATCTCCATGTTGTAGATCCTCCGGCATGTTTCATAGCTCTCCCGCTGGCGGCGGCGGCAGGGTTTCTCATAATAGCGCCTTCGATTTATGACTTCGGTAAGCCCATCAGTAGCGAGGATTCTGTGTAAAGACAAGCAATGAAGTCAGGTGCTGTGGCTCATCACTCTTCTTTACAGTTTCACAGCCCATCCTGGGTTTGAAAGACTTACAGTGGGAAGTGGTAACAGCACAGCACGGACCTCTTTCCAGAGGCTCCAGTAAGAGCCTGTGAGGTAGACTTAAAAAGTAACCACAGTTCTTGCTCGTAGGGAGCTTACAGTCAGAGTCATGCTTTTGACTACCACAACACACCTGCGATATGGGACAGCTTCCCATGGGGACAGTGGCTCCCTGTGCAGTGCTTTTTAACTACACGAACATTTTGGAAACCTCACATGAAGCTGGGTACACAGAAGCAAAAGCAGGCAGATCTCTGTGAGTTGGAGGCCAACCAGGGCTACATGGAGAGACCAGGTCTCAAAAACCAAACCCAAACCAAACCCAACCAAACCAGAAATGAGGTAAGCCATTTGTAATTAAAGAAAAAACAAAAAACTGAAGTGATTCCTACTGAAGAATGCAGTTCCTCCCTCTTTATATTTCAGAACTGATGTGGTGGGGGAGCATGTCTGTCAGCCCAGGACTTGGAAGGCTGATAGAAGAGGATCTCAAGTTTCAGATGGGCCTTGGCAACTTAGATCCTGCTTTAAAATCAAAATAAGTAAATAAATAAAAGGGATATAGCTCAGTAGTAGAGCACTTGCCCCACAAGTATGAACCCAGGCTTAGAGGGAAAAAAATTCTTTTGACATAATTGAAGTCTGAGCAAAATTGGGGGTCTACCTAAATATAGGCCCTTATCGTATCAGTGATACTAATGGGAGCATTATAATAGCCTCACTCGGGCTGGAGAGACATCTCAGCCATAAGAACGATACCTGCTCTTCCAAAGGTCCTGAGTTCAATTCCTATAGCAACCACATGATTGATGGCTTACAGCCATCTGTAATGAGATCTGGTGTTCTCATCTGGCATAGAGGCATATATGCAGGCAGAACACTGTATATGTAATAAGTAAATACATCTTAAAAAAAAAACCTCACTCACCATTTTTCCAATGCATCAGGTACTCCAATCACATGGCTTTGTGTGGACATGAGTGTGTGTAGGTGCTTGTGGAAGCTAAGGGTCAACTCCAGAATCAACCCTCAGGTCCATCCACCTTACTTTTGTGGAGTGTGTATGTGTCCTATATGTGCTTTTGAGACAGGCTGTCCTATTGGCCTGGAGGGTACCCAATGACTGGGCCAGGCTGGACAGACTTACTTAGACAATGTGGGAAGGAGGGAGCTGGGTGAGGCTTCTCAACCAGGAGAAAGAGAAAATGGAAGCCAAGCAGATGAGGTACATTGAGGAAAGAAATCATCTCAACATCCAGGCATTTCTTTTTTCCTTAGTGCTGGAGGTGGAACCCCAGAGTACTGATAAGAATGGGGTGCACGCCTTTAATCCCAGCACTTTTGAGGCAGAGGCAGAGACAGAGGGGCAGAGCCAGCCTGGTCTACAGAGTGAGTTCCAGGACAGCCAGAACTATTTTGCACAGAAACAGACGCGAAAACAAAACAAGAAGGATGGGGCTTGGGATGTAACTCAGTTGGTAGAATGCTTGCCTAGCATGAAAGGAGCCCTGGGTTTGATCCCGGGCACATAACACAGTTGTACACCTGTAGTTTGCCAGCACTTGAAAAGTAGAGGCAGTAGTTCAAAGTCATACACCGCTAACCTAAGATATATGAACCCTACCCTCCACCAAAAAAAAACCACCCTAAAACCAACCAAATAAACAAAACCAAAAGAATTCAAGAAGTAAAAGCAAAAGGGCTGTGGGTGTAGTTTTAGAGGTAGTGTTTGCTTATCTTATATGCAAGGCCCCTGGCTCTAGTTCCCAGTTCAGGGGGTGGAGGTGGGGTAAGCAACTTAACAAAGCGGAGGACGTAGCTGAATGGTAGCATTTTGGGCAAGGTGTTACTAGAGCCAATTCTGTTTGCAAAGATAGTTCAAGGACTAGCACATGAAGAGCTTAGTGTAAACAGATCAGCTTGGAGTTCTGGTGCCTGGCAACCTTACATGAAGGGGAAACCAGCTGCCAGTTTTAGTAAAATTCAACTGATTATATAAAAGGAGCTGCGCTACTTAAAAGGGGAAGCTGGGGGTGGCAGATTCACATGTCAGTGTAGCCAGCCTACGTTAACCAGCGTGTATACACAAGGAGCCCAGAAGCTGGCCAGGAGGAAAAGGGGTCAACTGGGCATGCTTCCAGTGTGCTAGTCTTTCCTAGTTTGGGGGCCAGCCAATCACACAAGGCTTCCTAGCAAGCCCTGCTCTCCATAGCCGCCTCTGAGAGCTCCAATGAGCCCCTGGTTATGTAACAGGCGGTTCCTGGCAGTCCCTCTGGACAGACACATAGGCTTTTTCCTTTGTAAGGCTCCCTCGGTGCTCCAAACATAGTAAAGGTTTAAACGCCTCTCTCTCCTCTCACTTTTCCTGCTATTGTAATCAGATCACAAAACAAGTGACTTATTTTTAAACTACAACCATCAGAAAGTTGAGAAAGATAAGAGAAGACTAGAGTGAGAAAGGTATATAGAAAAGGTGACCAAAAGGGGGAGACACTAAAGAACAGTCAGGAAAAGAAATGTAAGAGTAAGTAAGTCAGGAAAGATGGCATGTAGCTGGCAAGGAGGACCAGGCACTCCAAGACTCCACATGTGAGCTTACACATTATGGCCTAGAAAAGTACCCTAGGAGCAAACTATCTGCTCACCCCCCAGCCCTTAGGCTAAAATACAATTTATAAGATATTTCTGTCACATTATTGTAAGATTAAAAAACAAATAGAAATGCAGCTTTCTTTGCAAATATATTTTTAGACTAAAAGTGTAGTTTTTGAGACAGGATCTTAAGTATCTTGGGCTAGCCTCTTACTTTATTTGTATCCAAGGATCCAACCTTGGATTCCTTACTTTCCTGTCCTAGCTTTCTTGTGCTGACTAGCATTACAAACATGTGCCACCCTAACCAGTCTACTATTCTTTGTTATGTTTGTCCTTCCCGCCCCACCCCCCACGGGGTTTCTCTGTGTAGCTTTGGAGGCTGTCCTGGAACTTGCTCTTGTAGACCAGGGAACTCACAGAGATCCTCCTGCCTCTCTCTGCCTCCTGAGTGCTGGGACTAAAGGCATGCGCCACAAATGCCAAGCTCTTGGTTTGGTTTTTCGAGACCTAGTTTCTCTGTGTAGCCCTGAGAGTTCTGGAACTTGCTGTATAGACCAGTCTGGCCTTAAACTCAGAGATCTGCCTGCTTCTGTGTCCCAAGTACTGGGATTAAAGTTCTGTGTCACCTTTGCCTGGTACAAGTCTGTTTTTAAAATGCAGCTTTCTGAAGAGTGACTTCAAATTGCCAATACATTCTCCACACTGTGCCCCAAGCCACACAGTTTCAAGTTCATAAGGAAGCCTAAAAGAGGTTAACCCTCAGCGTCTGAGTCCAGGGGCCATAATTTCTTCACTTACTCTTTGAAGCACCTCTCTAACTGAAGTCTTCCTTGTTTTATGGAATCTTCCTCCTTCCTGGTAGTCTCCTGTAGCCCAGCTTTGCCTCAAGCTTGCTACATAACCAAGTATAACTTGATCCTCTTGATTCCCACTCTGAATGCTAGGGTTACAGGCACAGGCCACCATAAGACATTTTCTATGGATTTGCTGACCAAGTGCCTTTCTACCAAGTGAGCTATATGCCCAGATCATATTTTTTCTTCTTTCTAGGCAATATAAGCTGCCCCCTCAAACTGATAGTTTCCTTGGTGTTTTAATAACTTTGGTTAAGAAAAAAAAAAGTACATTATGTCCTTTTTATTTTATGGGACTAGGTTTGTGAAGCTCAAGATTGGGATCCTCCTACCTCAGTCTCTCCAGGGCTGGGACCGAAAGCCTAAGTCATCACTCCCAACTGCTTTGTACTTGTTTATTTACTTATTTATTTTCTAAAGGAAACAGGCTGGGGACTCAGCTCAAAACTGGAAGTGCACTCCCTGGCATGTATGGAGTCCTGGGTTCCATTACCAGAGCTGCAGAGAAGGAAGGAGGGGTGTAGGGGTGTGTGTGTGTAGAACACAGGTCTATAACCCCAGATTTAGGAGATAAGGGCAAGAGGATCAGTAGTTTAAGGTTACTCTTGCTTATATGGTAAACTTGAGGCCAACCTGGGCTACATTAAAAAAAAAAAAAAAAACCCAACAAGATTCATTAGAACATGATCTGAAATAACACCCGGCCAGATGGTAGACCACATTCAGACAGCATCTACTTTTCTTTTTTTTAATTTTTTAAAAGATTTTTTTAAACTTATTATGTATATAGTATTCTGCCTGCAGGACAGAAGAGGACATCAGATCTCATTACAGATGGTTGTGAGCCACCATGTGGTTGCTGGGAATTGAACTCAGAACCTCTGGAAGAACAGTCATTGCTCTTAACCCTGAGCCATCTCTCCAGCCCGAACAGCATCTACTTTTAAGATTATGGTTTTATGTGTATAAGTGTTTGTTTTCATTTATGTCTGTTTGAGTGTCTATGCCTGGTACCCACTGAGGCCAAATAATGGTGTCAGATCCTCTGGAACTGGAGTTACAGAATGTTGAAAGCCAGTATATGAGTGCTGAGAATTGAACCTGGGACCTCTAGAAGAGCCTGTACTCTTAACCACTTAGCCATCTCTTCCAGCCTCTACTTTCTGTCATTTATTTATTTATTTTTCTCTCACTAACTACTTAGTTTCCAGGAAGGATTGTATTTTTATTTAATCTTTATTACTTTTATTTATTGCATTTACTTAGTGTGCACATGCTATAGAGTATTTGTGGATTAAGGAAAAATAAATAAAAAACAAACAAGCTCCCTTGTAATGATTAAAGAAGATGGTGATCTGACTTCAATAAAAAGATGATCACCTCCTTCAGGCAGGGGATGATAAATATTTTATTTCTTTTCTTTTCATTTGTTTGAGTCAGGGTTTCTCGGTGTAGCTTTGGAGCCTGCCCTGGAACTTATTCTGTAGACCAGGCTGGCCTGGAACTCACAGAAATCTGCCTGCCTCTGCCTCCTGAGTGCTGGGATTAAAGACATTTGACACCATGACCCAGCTATACTTTATTTCTTATGTTTGCTTTATAACCTTGAAAGTAGAAATGAGGAATACACTCCATTGCACAAAATGGACGGAGGAGGTATTGCTGAAAATGAGCAAGAGGTGAAACGGAGTAGGCTGGGTTGCAGGGCACTCTCTCTTTGAAGCAATCTTCACGTTAAAAATAGAGCCCAAGGAAATAGGAGGGAAAAAAAAAAAAAAGCTAAAAAGACAGGCATGATGGCACACATCCCAGCACTCAGGAGGCAGAGTGGATGGGTCTCAGTGAGCTCAAGGTCAGCCTGGTCTACACGGCAGTTCCAGACCAGCCAGAGCTACAGTGAGATCTTCTCTCAAAAGACCAACATTTCCACCCCCTTAAAAAAAAAAAAATTAAGGGCTGGAGAGATGGCTCAGAGGTTAAGAGCACCGACTGCTCTTCCAGAGGTCCTGAGTTCAATTCCCAGCAACCACATGGTGGCTCACAACCATCATCCCGAATGAGATGCCCTCTTCTGGTGTGCAGACATACATAGAAATAGAATGTTGTATAAATAAATAAAATCTTTAAAAAAAATTAAAACAAACAAAAATTGCCAGGCAGTAATGGCTCAGCGCTACATCATTTTTTAAGTGTATGTATGTATGTATGTATGTATGTATGTATGTATGTATGTATTTTTGTTTATGTCATCTGTGTGGGTTCCTGCAGAGGGCATGAGAGTATCAGATCCCTGACATCAGTTGTGGGTACTGGGAACCAAACTTGGATCCTCTGAAAGAGCAGCAAGCACTCTTTACCGTGGAGCCATCTCTCCAGCCCCTAGGTATTTTTTGCTTATTCTGTAACCCTCCTTTGAACTTGTAACGACTTCTCATCTTGATTTGTTTCTCCGAAAAATTAATCTTTTCTAGGGGAGCACATAAGTAGTAGTAGACATATAAACTCAGGACTTGGAAGATGGAGGCATGAGGATCAGGAGTCAAGGTCAGCCTTTGCTATCCTGCCCATTCTCGGCCAGCCTGAGCCACATGAGATGAACAAAATAACAAAGGAATTGATCTTCTCCAGTAGCTTTACTCCACAAAAACTGTCTCATCTATTTTTCATGCACTATGCCTCTTGTTGTTGTTCTTCATTTCCTCTCTCTCTCTCTCTGGGGAGAAGTCAACTGAGACAGATCCTAATCCAAGTAGCCTACACTATTCTCAAATTCTTCCTGCTCCATCTCCCAGGTGCTGAGATAGGGAAGTGCACAGGCAGGCACAGACTACCGGCTCTTTCCAAAACCTCAAAACCTCAGAGAGAATTCGGGTTCATCAAGGGATGGTGACTGCTGGCTGGATAAGCCCCATCAAGTATGATTTGGGGAAGAACTTCATTGTTTCAATAGTAAATTGGGAGGCTAAAAAGTGCCCAAAGCATAAACACTATGTTAGGACCAGTCTGAGAATACTTTATGTGGGAGTTAGCTGGGTGATGGATAACCCTACATTCTCACAAGCAAAACCCTGATTCTTTTTACCTGGTCAGGGTCCTGTATGCACCTTCCACGTTCCCGTCCTGAACCATCACAGTCCTGGCAATGAACTTCAGGTGTTTAGCCATGGCCTTGCATTCAGATCTTCATTCTCTAGGACCTACGGACTGGACAAGGATTGGAAACTGGAAAATCAGTAAGTAAACAAAGCCAGAGTCACACAATACCACAGGTAGTTTTATTAAATCTGAAAGTACAGCCTCCTCAGGAACCCATGGAACCAGGTAGGACGAATTATTCACATCTAAGAAAGTGCGGGTAGGTCTGGAGAGGCGGCTCCCTAGCACGCACATGGTGGCTCACAACCATCTATCTGTACCCCCAGTACAGAGGATTCAATACTCTCTTCTGGCTTCTGTGGTCACACACATACAAGCAAGCAAAATAGTCATACCCGTAAAATAATATCTGTAATTTTAAAAGCAGGGCGGTGGTGGCGCACGCCTTTAATCCCAGCCCTCGGATGGAGAGGCAGGCGGATCTCTGCGAATTCGAGGCCAGCCTGGTGTACATAGCAAGTGCCAGGACTACAAAAATACTGTCTCAACACTGGAAAAAGGTAAAACAATGTAATTTGAAAAACCGGGTTTTCGCAGCGAGACTCCACCCTGGACCCTCTAGGGACCAGGAGGCCACGCGAAATACCGTCCTCCCGCCACACGCGCGATTTCCTTACCTACGGCCTCAGCACCCAGGACTCCAGGGCGCCCCGGACCGGAAGCGGAAGCTACGGAATCCCCGAGGCGGGCGGGAGGAAGCCGCGCTGAAGGGCACCGACTGCTGCGGAAGCCGTGCCTAGGGTCAGTCCTTGCGAAGGTTCGCTTCTGGGCGCAGGCGCTGAGCTCTGCGCCTGACAAAGTCAAAGGAACAGCGTCCTCGCCTTCTGTGGAGTCGCGGTCCTTGGGTGTGCGAGAAGGTCAGCCCGATCCATGGCTCTAATCCCGCTAAACCTTTACTAGATGTGGGCGGTTTCGTTTTCTGGGTGGGAAATGGGAAGCGTCCTGAGAATGTTCTCTATTTTAAAAGGACAGATCCGGGCGGTGGTGGCGCACACTTTAATCCCAGCACTCGGGAGGCAGAGGCAGGCGGATCTCTGTGAGTTCAAGGCCAGCCTGGTTCCAGGGCTACACGGAGAAACCTTTCTGGGGGGGAGGGACAGATCTGCTCACTGGGTGACAAACAGATCCACACCTAAAAGTTCATCAGCCTAAAAGTTAAGAAATTACATACTGTGAGTTCCCCATTTCATCATCCACCTAAGCCATTTCACTAAATAAAATGGAATCACTAAAGAAAAGGGAAACGCCTGTTGTTTTTTTGTTTCTCGATGCCAACGTTGTCATTTGTTGCCTTGTAAAACCCGGTAGAAATTTCTCTTTTTTATTTCTTCCACACTGTCTTGACAATCTTATGTGTATGCTGTCCCCATACCATATATCGATGTACGGTTATTTACATGGAACAGAAAAACCTCCCCACAACACACATAGATGAATCTTTCATCTGTTATTTCTTTAAAAGATTTGTTTTTATTTTATGTGTATGTATGTGTGCCTGAGTGTATGTGTATGCACCTGTGCATGTAGTAGTCAGTGAAAAATAGGATAAGCATTGGATCCCTGGAACTGGAGTTAACAGGTGGTTGTGAACTGCCATGTGGATACTGGGAACGCAACTTTTTTTTTTTTTTTTTTTTTTTTTTTTTTTTTTTTGGTTTTTCGAGACAAAGTTTCTCTGTGGTTTTGGAGGCTGTCCTGGAACTAGCTCTTGTAGACCAGGCTGGTCTCGAACTCACAGAGATCCGCCTGCCTCTATCTCGCAAGTGCTGGGACTAAAGGCGTGCGCCACCACGCCCGGCAGAACTGTTCTTAACCATCGTCAGTAGGTACTCAGACAAAACTTAAGCCTGCCTCGTAGTAAGCCAAATCCAAAGTACCAAAGTGAAGCTACACTAGGACACTATTATGCCTGTCAACAAACTTTTAGTTGACTATCTAGCCTCTGCCAGGCACTGTTGATACTACTCCGGTGTCTCTTGTGCTACTGCAAGACAGTATATAGACACAAATTTAGACTGGGTAGCATATAATAAGTGCAAAATTAATTATATGAACAGGCACAGAATACGGTGGAAAGGAGTTCTAGTTTTTAGTCATAGTCTGAGAGCCATCAGGTGTATGACTTTGAGCAAGTTACTCAAACCAGGAGTTTGTACTTTTTTGTATTAATAAAAATATTGGAATGCTATCATGTTTATTTATTGATTGTGTATGGCTAGTTTGGGCTCCAGTGGTAGAGTTGGGTAGAAGAAATGGGGATATATGACCTACAAGTATTTGTGATCTGGATCCAGTTTCTTATTTGTAAAATGGCACTAGTAGCTACTCTATTGCTCTCAAAAAGTTTGTCATAAGAATCAAAGGGGGTAAGATATAGGTACTTTGCGAATTTTTGTTTTAATTTTTAAGGTTTATTTTATTATAAGTGCGTGAGTATTTTGCCTGCATGTAGGTATGTGTACTATGTATGTGTCTGTCTGGTGCCCATGGAGGTCAGAACAGGGCATTGAATCCCTTGGGTCTTGAGTCACAGACAGTTGTGAGCTACCATGTATGTGCTGGGAATTGTACCTGGGTTTTCTTTCTTTGCTGCTGCTTCCTCTTTTTCCTCTTCCTCCTCTTCTTCTTCCTCTTCTTCTGATTTATTTATTATGTATACAATGTTCTGTCTGCATGTATGCCTGCAGACCAGAAGAGGGCACCAGATCTCATTACAGAAGGTTGTGAGCCATCATGTGGTTGCTGGGAATTGAATTTAGGACCTCTGGAAGAACAGCCAGTGTTCTTAACCACAGAGCCATCTCTCCAGCCCCAAACCTGGGTTTTCTACAAGAGCTCTTAACTGCTGAGCCAACTTTCCCACCCCTTTGTTAATTTTCTTCTTTTTTACTGGATTAAAAAAAAAAATTAATGTAGCCAGAGGCAGGCAGATCTCTGTGAGTTCAAGACCAGCCTGGTCTACAAGAGCTAGTTCCAGGACAGACTCTCCAAAGCTGCACAAAGAAACCCTGTCTTGAAAAACAAAACAAATAAACAAAAAAAATGTCTTTTAATGTATATGGGTGTTTTGTCTGCATATATGCCTGGTGTCCAGGGAGGCCAGAAGGCATCAGGTTCCCTGGATCTGGATTTACAAATGTTATGAGCCACCATATGGGTGAGGGGAATCTAACCTGGGTCCTCAGGAGGAGCTGTCAGTGCTGTTAACCTCTGAGCCTTCTGCCCAACCTCATTGCCCCCAAGTTTTAAGTCTAGTTATCTAGAAAAATGTTGTCATATATTTCATTAACAGAATAGGAGATTAATTAATTCTGTGTACTCAGGCTCAAACACAGACTTGTGTATTTGTGTCATAGCATATAGAGGTCAGAGGACAACTTGCCAAAATTGTTTCTCTCCCTCCACCAGGTGGGTCCCATGGTTTGAACTCAGGTCATCAGGCTTGGTGGTGGCAGGGGCCTTCACTCACTGAGCTATCTGACCAGGCCTTTTATTTTAAAGACAGGTGTGTGTATGCTTGCTTACATGCCCATGTGTGAATATGTGTGCAGATATATGAGGACAGGAGTGTGTATGCTTACATGCCCATGTGTGAATGTGTGTGCAGATATATGAGGACAGGAGTGTGTATGCTTGCTTACATGCCCATGTGTGAATGTGTGTGCAGATATATGAGGACAGGTGCCTGCTCCTGTGCATGCCATTCCAGAAGGGGTCATTAGACTCCTCAGAGCTGTATGGGCATTTGTGAGATGCCCATGCCTGGCTTAATAGCTGTTTCTGGAGTCCCTACCCTAGTCCTTATGATTAGATAGCAACTGCTCTTGACTGTCTAGTCATCTCTCCAGTGCTCCACACTTGTTTTTAAAACAGTCTAAGCTGGTTTGGAAGAAGATATGTACCTGAGGATGGCCATCAACTTTTGATCCTCCTGCTTCACGTCTCAAGTGCTGAGATTACATATACACACCACCATACCCAGTTTTATGGGGTGCTAGGGATCTTAGCCACAGCTTTGTGAAGACTTAGCAAGCCCTTTATAGAGCTAGCTATCTCCCTAGCCATAAAATGCTGATTTTTTTTTTTTTTTTTTGCTGGTTGTCACGTTTTTTTTTATTGAAATATTTTCTCTCTTTTTTTTTTTTAAGATTTTATTTATTATGTATACCACATTCTGTTTCCATGTATATCTGCACACCAGAAGAGGGCACCAGATCTCATAACAGATGGTTGTGAGCTACCATGTGGTTGCTGGGAATTGAACTCAGGACCTCTGGAAGAGCAGTCAGTGCTCTTAATCTCTGAGCCATCTCTCCAGCCCTTGAAATATTTTCTCTTGTTTCTTCTTAACTAGCTGGGCATTCCACTACACCACTGTTGATGTCATCAATGATGCCATGAGGGTGGCGGCCATCCACATTACAGCCCACAGACTGTGTAGTACCTAGGATCTCTTTAATAGTTCCAGAAAGTTCTCTGGCTAAAGACCGGTGCCTCATCTGACGGGCAATGCCGACAATCTCATCGAAAGTGATATTTCCACTGTGTTTAACTGCAGAATAGAATTCAGAAGGGTGGTGTTGCTTTTTAAATGCTTTTTGTGCAATCTTCTGATACAAGACCCTATGGTTTCACTTTACCCATTTCTAAAATACTGAAATTTTAATAAATTGTTTTTGTTTGTTTTTTTCAAGGTAGGGTTTCTCTGTGTAGCCCTGGCTGTCCTGGAACTCACTATGTAGACCAGGTTGGCCTCAAACTCAGAGATCCTCCTGCCTCTGCCTCCTGAATGCTGGATTAAAGTTGTGTACCACCACGACCACTGTTGCTGCCACCATCACCCAGCTATCACTTTTTAATTAGATTTTGTTGTTGTTGTTGTTTGTTTTGTTTTTCAAGACAGGGTTTCTCTGTGTAGCTTTGAGGCCTATCCTGGCACTTGCTCTGGAGACCAGGCTGGCCTTGTACTAACAGCAATCTGCCTGCCTCTGTCTCCCAAGTGCTGGGATTAAAGGCATGTATCACCACTGCCCAACTGCCTACAAGGGTCTTTAGACAAAGGCCTTGAGTCCTGTTGCTGGACTCTTCAGTAATTTTTGTATAAGCAGTATATAACTAAAACTCCCTAGCAAAAACTTATACATTCAGTGTACCATTTTAGGGCAAATATTAGAACAGGAAATGAAGATTTAGCATCTATCTAATTTGAGGAAATAATACAGACAATAAAAAGTGCAAAGTTAACAGATCGGATATATAGAGAGAAAAGCTAAAACTAGTGCCTTGGAGAACACCCACACTCTGGGGTAGGTGGAAACAGGGCCATTAAGAAACTTAGAAAGTGCTGCCAGTTGGGTAAGAGGAGAGTTAGGACTGTGTGCAGTCACAAGATCTAAGGTAGTAAAGTTCCAGAAGGCAGCATTGTGTCAAGTGATACAGTGCATAACCTTTGTGAAGGCGCATGGGTTTCACCAATGATTAGGTGAAAGGTATATTATAAAACACCGTAGTGCTCATTTTGTGGGCTCATTAGTTACTTTGGAAGGTGCAACAAAATGAAAGTAGTATAAGCTAGGCTGCCAGCGATTAACTACAGTGGTCATGAGGTACTGGAAAAACCACTCTGGAGCATACTGGGGATGTGGGCTTTGTGGTAGAGCACTTGCCTAGCATGCATGGGGACCAGAGTTCAGTCCCTAGTACTAGGTGGGAGTGGGACTGGGGAAGAACTATAGAGCGAAGAAGAGAAAGAGGATATCTGTAGGCTCAAGCAGTATTTTCAGTAAGCCAATAACTGATGGCACAGGGAAGTAATTATGGATAGCAAATATAAATTACAAAAGTTTCACAAATAAAAGGAAATCCAAGGGGCTGGAGGGATGGCTCAGCAGTTAAGAGCACAGGCTGCTCTTGTAGAGGACATTGAGTTCAGTCCCCAGCACCTACATGGTGGCCCACAAGCATCTATAATTCCAGCTCCAGGAAATCCAATGCCTTCTTCTGACCTCTTTATGTACCAGGCATGCATGTGGTACACATACATATATAACGTGATGTTACAGGTTAAAATATCTTTATTCAAGTAATACCGGCCAAGCACAAGCCAGAGCGCGCATAGAGGCAGCAAGCTAGGGAGGCCAGAGAGAGGGGGCTCCCCACGAGTCTGCCCCCTTTAAGAATTCCCATCCCATCATCTTGAACCTCCCCTGACCACCCCCTCACAGGCGTAGCCAGGCACACCTGTAGGGCTCCTAGGAGGCGGGGCTACAGTGTCTCCCTACATACATACATGCAGGCAAATAATCATACACATAATAAAAAAAAAAAGAGGGACTTGAACGCTCAGCAGTTAAGAGGACTGCTGCTCTTCCAGAGGACCTGGGTTCAATTTCCAGCACCCACATGACAGCTCAAAACTGTCTGTGGATCCAATTCTGGGGATTTGACACCCTCACACAGACATACATGCAGGCAAAACACCAATACACCTAAAATAAAAATAAGTAAGTAAAATGAGCCAGGCATGATAGTTCATGCCTCCTTTAACCCCAGCACTCAGGAGGCACAGGCAGGCCTGGTTTGTGTAGCAAGTTTTAGGCCAATTAGGGCTACATAGTGAGACCCTGTCTCCAAAAAGAAAAATGTATATACACAATCCATCAAAGTCACACATGGAGCCAAGAGTGGTGCTTCACATCTATAATTCATGGGGCACCAGGATCACCTTGATTTCCAGGACAGCCTGAGCTACGCAAATAAGGTTTTGCCTTAGAAAGGAGGTCATGCTTTCTGAAATAAAGGGAGGTGATTTATTTCCCAGCAATGGGGAAAGCTGTCTAACTAGTGAGAAGTGCACTGAGCAGCTAAGAAGCAATGACTAAGATGACAGAATTATCTGATGCACTGGAAAGGCTGAGGATGAGAGAGGACATGGTTTTGGTAGGAACTGAGACAAATTAGAAAGAAACAAAGTCATAGCTAAGGGTAGAGAGCCATCCATTTGTGGACTTCTCACTTGAGTAGCTTTCCTTTGCTTAGCATGCACACATTTAGCAGTTATTGATGTTTGAGTAAGGATTATGGCCCAGAGTCTGAGTCCTTCTATCCCAACCTCAACAAATTCTAGGGCACTGTGCCCTCTTCAGAACTGGCACCCCAGTGGCTGTTTTGACTTTCGCTCTTCTGGAGGCAGCAGAAGGTTACATAGGCATTTACCCCCAAGCATCAACAGCTCCCATCAAAGCAGAGCTGAGCCAGAGCAGAAGAACCTGCTTGTCTGGCCAGCTGGAAGATTCCACAGGGAGACATACTAGTTTCTGAGTGTGAACAGAAAGAAAAAAAAAAAAAGTAACAAACCCAGCTCAGCTCTGAACCTGAAAGTGTCCCAGGGGTGTCCCCTAGGGAAGCAGCAGCTACAGGGCCCCTCATAGGTTCTGTGTTATCCCACTCACTCTACCTTATGTAGCTCATATTTACAAACCCTTCTGTCCTATCTTCTTTTCAGAAGCACAGTGGGTAAGATTTATGGTATTTATGGTTTTCAATTTACCACAGTCAGCAAGTGTTTAGGTAAAAAAAAAAAAAGTCTTTAATTAGAAAGGAATTATTTTTCCTCACCACAAATACATTAAAAGTAAAAAAAAAAAAAAAGCACATAAACATATATTTACACAGATTGGAAATTGGAGGACAGGTGTAAAGCCTGGGTTGGGGCTAAGGACCAGGAGCAACTGCAGACTCTAGGTGTCCTGTAGTCATCTCTCTTACTGTGGTAGGTAGAACAGGGGGACAGAGGGTACAGCTCCAGTCTGATGGCAGCGTTACTGGCAAACTATGGTAACAAGGCCCCTCTCGAGACAGTTTCTTCAGATCACCAGGGATGACAGGAGACAGTGTAGTTGGTGGAATTGGAGTGCCTAGGGCAGAGTGGGTGAAGGGCTGTCCTCCTTTCTGGAGGACAAGGATGACACCAATGCTGGCCCCAGTGCCTATGGAACTGTGGGCTGAATTGGAGCCCTGGGAGCTGAGAGGAGGGTTACAAATTGGAGTGCTATGAATCCAGGTGAGGTTCATAGCCGGCCATTCTGTGAGATGCCATGGCTGCTTTGGTTTCAAAACTAAATGTCCTAGCTGTGTTTGGCCCATCTTCTCCATGAGAGGTGCAGGAGAGGAAGCAGCTGAGTCACTGTGGTGGCTTGGGAAGTGCTAGAGAGTGGGGAAAGAAGGAAAAACAACTGTTAAGAAAGCTTACAGATTAGCTCCCCTTAGCTTGGACCTTTGCTGTCCTTGAGAACTCATTGTGCAGTGCAAACACACATTGTTTTGTGTAACAGGTGTGTTCTTGCCAGGTGATGATTAAGTAAAAATTTTAGCAATCAAGTAATGCTTCCACTTATTCAACCAACAGTTAGGGCGAGTCTGTGTAACACATGTGATTAGGTTATTAAAAATGGACAAGATAAAACAGTCCTACAGTTCTCACTATTTACACAATGATTTCTGTTCAGTTTCTTTAAAGTACTTTTTTGTGGTGTTAAGAAAATCAAACCCAAGGCCTGCTGTGTGGCAGGAAAGCATTCTAATAAACCCCAGCCCCAGCCAGAGAAGTGTAAGTAAATATAAGTCTCAATTTCTGTGTTGGAAATCCTCATTTTCCATGTTTAGTTCTTCATGAGGCCTGATCTTGTTACTTATTTTTTAGTCAATTATTTTCACATCATTAAAAACTATAGTTGATTTAGTTGGGCACTTTTAACCCAAGCACTCAGGAGGCAGAGGCAGGTGGAGCTCTGTAGCTCCAGTTATTCTGGAGCTACAGAGAAACCCTGTCTTTAAACAAAACAAAGCAAACAAGCCCACTATAGACACATAAGGCTTAGCCAAGGATATTTTGGCAGGAGTCAAAAGTTGGAGAGGGGAGGGTTTGGATGGGTGCAAGGAGGAAAAGATTTGTAGAGGAGAACTGAGACAGGTAAGCCTCAACAGGAGGGTAGGGTTAAATTTCGTAGGGGCCCAACAAAATACAACCAACATCTAGGCTAAATCTAAAAATCATAGTAATGCACAAAGTTAGACATTCCCTTCCCTGAAAAAAAAAATCACAAAACTTAAGGAAAATGAGAGGGGGAACACATTTCTCCATGCATAGTCCATTTCTTGATTCTTCTCCCATCTCTTCCTTGGTTTTTAGGTTCTTACCTTGCTTATCTGATGCCTGCTACCTCCTAAGGATGACTTCTGGGCAGCTATTCGAGGAAACCAAGTCTTTAACATCCCTTCCACTTGCAGCAAAGTTCCTAGATAACGCTCTCTGTGAAAAAAGGATAATTATAAAAGTCATTAAGTATGAAAAGAGATGTAGAAAACTGTACAAGCCTCCCTCAATAAGATACTGAGGAGAGGAAGAAATAGGGAAACTAACCCCATCTGAGGCTTCCGCAAAACACCCACTATACGCTGGATCCGGTCCATGGCCACACTCTGCTGGAAGCTACTCAATCCTAGGATGAAAGAGAGGGGGTGATCAGAGGGTATGGGATGTACCTCAGTGCCAAAGAGCTTGCCTAGGATACACAAGGAACTAGGTTCACTCCCCAGCATGAGAGAAAGCAGAGATGGGGACTGAGGTAAATGTAAAGACAGAGATAGATAGGAGTTGAAATGGATTCACCCAAAGAATTAAATTACCAATGAAAACAGGGAATTAAGTTACAGATGCCCAGGTCCCAAAGAGAGATTTAAGAAACATGTACATTTCACACAGGAAGGCTAGCTACTCCCTCTCGCCCCCAAATGTAATCAGTCAAGTTATTACCTCTGTCGAAGCGGCCCATTTTTAGTCCATTCAGCAGGTCTGTAAGGGGCCGTATGAACCCTTGGAGTTCTTCACACTGTAGGAAAACAGCACAAAGACTAAGGGACCAGCAGTGGTTTTTCTTCTGTCATGTATCTGACAGCCAATACCATCTTGTTAGGGTCAACCAATGAGGTGTTTGACACTGCACCACTGTCTCCTGCTTTCTCTTACCTTTTGAGCAAAAAGCAGGTCTCCCTCTGTGGTACATCCCTGAGTGTGTAGACTGGTCCCCAGTTCACCGTCTCTGGACCCTTTGACCCTAGATCCTCGCTGTTCCAGATGAGATGCTGTATGTTGGTTACTAGAAACCCTGAGTCGATGTCTGCAGCGGATAGGGCCTGGACTGGGCCGGGAACCTCCCCTTTGCCCAACATCCTCTGGCCTGAGCCCATGGGCACTCTTGCCCTCCCTCTCATTATCAGAGGGGAAGCTAAAGTCACTGTTCACAGGGGATGTAGAAAAAGACGAGGAGAGAGAGGAGGAGCAATAAGAAGAAACGCTAGATGGAGAATCCATAGGTCCAGGAGCAGGAGTACCAAAAAGATCAGAACCTGCAACTGAAAAACAGAGCGAGGAGTTTGAAATCAGAGTCAAAGGATCAGGAAAGGGATTGGGAGACTGGGGTGTTCTGAATAGGGTAACACGATTTTTTCCCGTTCTCAACAGAAACAAACCAAAAAAAAAAAAAAAAAAAAAAAAAAAAAAAAAAAAAAACCAACAACAAAAAACCCTTGTTTTTTCACCCCCATTCAAAATCCAGACCTCCGGCCCACGCAGAGCCCTTGACCCCACACAGCCTTTCTTCCCTTGGGTTCAGATTGAATACCCGACTTTACACCTTCCCCTCCGTCTGCTGTTGTGGGCTGTTCCCTGCCAGACCTCATAGTGAGCTTATCGACCTAAAAAGCCACCGGCTAGTGGCTGATCTGCGCACCCAAATCCACTTAAGGTCTCTATGGGTCCCGCCCCCACGAACACCCGTTTCCATAGCTTTCGCATCTCACCGTCAGGCGCCCTGCGCCGGTCAGTCTATGGTCGCGCCTTCCAGGTGATGCAATTCCTCCCAAAACCCAGATCTGCGGTCTCACCAGCCCACTCCGTCCGTCCGTCCGTCCGTCCGTCCGGGTCAGTTTTCCGGAGCGCTCCGCTCTGGTCTGCACACCTGGGTCTGTCGGCTCAGCCCCAGTCGGTATCCAGCTTCTTCAACGTCTGTGCCGGTCTAGCCGACCCACCTCCGCCTCACTCTGTGGGCCCCGCCCCTTCCCCCTCCCAGACACGTGCGGCCCTGCACGTGCCTCCCCCTGCGTACACAGACCTTGTCCTCTCATTGGATAGCTTGCCGGCAACACGTGATGGTACATACAGACACTCACAGCCCATTTGCTACGGCACGCGGGGGCTCGGCCAATAGGGAGGCAGCCAAGCGGTGATTGGCTGGGAGGGAAGCAGTCGATGCTCCGCCCGTACATGCGGCTCCTCCGGTGATAAAAGGGAGGATGGAAAAAAGTGAAAATGAGGGAAGGGGCGGAAAAGGGCGGAGCCCGTAGCCTTAAATAGGACGGCCCTGCGCGGGAGACCGCGCGGCTGGAGTGTGCCGACCGTGCCACGGAGGCGGGGCCTCGGGACGTGGGCCCCTCTGAGCGCCTCCGCGCACGGGCGCAGCACGTGGGAGCCCTCAGCAACTCGTGTCCGCAACGTGTGTGACAACGGACGTGTGACGCCGGGCATCCGTTCCCTTGTCGGCGGCTCGCCCTCGTGACTCCCCGCTCTTTCATCCTCCCCTCCTCGTCTCCTAGTTGGGTGCCTCCTGCCCTGCTGGGCGAGGAGGGTGGGGACTGCAGCCGGAACACCGCGTCCTCTCCGGGGCTCCCACCGCGGCTTCGCCAGCCGGTTCTTACATAACCTGCCACGCATGTTACCATCTCAGATGCCAGGCCGCCAAGACTCTAGGGGTCAAAGCCGAAGTCGTCCCTGACTTTTCTGCCCCGGGCCCTTCGGACCCTTCAACTCCGAATGCTCTGATTCTCAGCACAGGGAACAGGGTAAAGTAGATCTTTGATCCAGAAGGTTATGGTTTGATCTGGCTCCAGTTTATTTGTTCCTTTGAGAAGACTGGAATGAAATTGAGGAAGGAAAAGAGCAAGTCCAGAGTCACCAACAAACATTAACATCCGTTTCACCATATCATAGTTACAACAGGACCTTGTAGGTTGAAGACAACACAGGGATCGCAAGGGGGCACTCTAGTGCTGATTAGGGTAGGGAGAACAGAGACTTAAAAATTTTTATTGCATATTCTTACTAAAGTTGGACAGAGATGGTTTGGAGAATGCGTGATTGTTTTAAATATATTCGAATACTTTTTACTTATATTTAGCAATGTGGTATGGTTATTTTAGAAAAAGAAAAAGGGTTCTAAATTAAACTTAAGCACTGTTTCCCCAAACACAGTTTCAAGACATCAAATAAAATATAATTAGCAGGGTGTAATGGCTCATTCCTGTTGTAATCATAGAGGTTGTATGCTGGAGATCGGTTCAAGGTCAGCCTGAGCCACATGGGACCATTCGAAAACAATAAAAAAATAGAATTACAGGCTCAGAATTAACCTGTTATCCTTGAGTATTCTCTTTTCTATTCCAAACTTTAGATTTATTTACAGGGTATGATTCCTTCTAATTAATTGACATATAATAAAAGGGGTTTGTTTTGTTTTTCCCGAGACAGAGTTTCTCTGTGTAGTCCTGGCTGCCCCAGAGGAACTCTTTGTAGACCAGGTTGGCCTGGAACTCAGAGATCCGCCTACCTCTGCCTCCTGAGTGCTGGGCATGCACCACTACACTGGTTTCTAATTCTTTTTCTAATCTGCCCTTCATGCCTCCCAAGTTTTGGTGTACACATGGGCGTTGACTTTAGAACAGACCGTAATTAAGAAATAGACAAAACGGGAGGGGAGAGGGAGTTAGAAGAAAGAGAAGGGGATAAGAAGAGAGGAGAGAAGGACACGAGGGAGCAGGAAGATTGAGCAGGGGGAAGAATAGAGGAGAACAAAATAAGAGATACCATAATAGAGGGAGCCATTACAGGTTTAAAGAGAAATCTGGCACTAGGGAAATGTCCAGAGACCTACAAGGATGGCCCCAACTAACAATCTAAGCAATAGTGGAGAGGCTACCTTAAATGCCCTTCCCCGATAATGAGATGGATGACTACCTTATATGCCATCCTAGAGCCTTCATCCAGCAGTTGATGGAAGCAGAAACAGACACCCACAGCAAAACACTGAGCTGAACTCCAGGAATCCAGTTGTAGAGAGGAAGGAGTGATGAGCAAAGGGTCAAGACCAGGCTGGAGAAATCTACAGAAACAGCTGATCTGAACAAGGGGGAGCTCATGGACTCCAGACTGATAGCTGGGAAACCAGTATAGGACCAATCCAGAACCCATGATCATGGGTGTCAGATAGGAGACCTGGGCAGTCTATGGGGCCTCTGGCAGTGGATCAGTATTTATCCCTAGTACATTAATGGACTTTGGGAGCCCATTCCACATAGAAGGATACTCTCTCAGCCTAGACACACGGGGGAGGGCCTAGGTCCTGCTCCAAATGATGTGAGACTTTGAAGATCCCCCGTGGAAGGCCTCACCCTCCCTGGGGCGCAGGAAGGGGATGGGGTAGGGTGTTTGTTGGGGGCAGGGGAGGAGGGGAGGGAGTGGGAACTGGGATTGACATGTAAAGCAAGCTTGTTTCTAATTTAAACTAAAAAAAAAAGGAAAATGTAAAAAAGTAGACAAAACTTTTTTTTCCTTTTATTTTTTCATCCAACTTCTTGCCAAACTTTAGTCTGAAGAGTCATAGCAGCCTTCTCTCACCTGGAGGGAGGGAGGATAAAAACAGGGTCAGGTGACTCGTGTTTAAGAAGACACACTGCTTTTTGTTTTGTTTTGTTTTTCAAGAAAGGGTTTTTTTTTTTTTTTTTTTTTTTTTTTTTTTTTTTTGTGCAGCCCTGGATGTTTTGGAACTAGGTTTGTAAACCAGGCTGGCTTCAAACTCAGAGATCTGTCTGTCTCTACCTCCCAAGTGTTGGGATTAAGAGCATGTGCCTCCACCAACACTGACAATTAGCCAGCTAAATTCAATTCCCCGAACTCATGTCAGGTATTTCCCAAATCCCTGTAACTCCCATTCTGGAAGCTCTGGTGCCTCAGGCCTCTTAAGCCCCCCACTCATGTATACACATCACTCCTCTATACATAGATATAATTAAAAACAATAAATCTAAGAAACAATAACGAGGCCAACGAAGTCTCCCCTGCTCCCATCTCTATGCAAACCCCACAGATTTCACGTTCTGAAATGGATTCAACATTCTTTGTTGAGAAAGATGGGTCCCTCTCGTGCCTCCCTCCTCCTTCTGCTGAACTTTGCCTCTTGGCTCTACAGGGTTGTAAGGCACACCCATTTTGCCCTCTGGCCCCTGCCATAACTTCAAACATGGCCAGAATGGAATCAGCCTTGATTTTTCCAGACTTGTTGGAAGCTTGGAAAAACCTCCTCCATTCAGCCCACCTCTCTCTTAGGAGGTCTTGAAAGCCCTCCCAGATCAGAATATATAATATATATGTTCATATATATATATATATATATATATATATATATATATCATCACAAAAGTCTTTGCTTCTACTTATTCTAAATTTCTTCAAGATTAGATAATTAGATATTTCTAAATGTGATCCCAGTTTTTCCCTTAAGCATAGGAGAACTGAGCAGGTTGGTAAGAAGTACTTCATAGCACCCCCACCAAAGCCAGTGGCTGCCCTCTTACCTTCTACATAAAATGCATCCCCCCTTGAAGGAGGGTCCATAAGAGAAGACAGGACACAGAACTCTGCAGACTGGACATGGCATCATTCTGATCTGGACTCTGCTAAAAACACCCCCCCACACACACACAAAATAGGTCATTGTCACCCTTCCTAGCAGTTCCCATTCCAGGAAGATAGCCACCTCTTTACAACAATCCCCTTTCGTCCTTACCTCTGGTCTCTAAGGAGACTCAGTCCTCTCCCCATCACGGTAAAGAACTCTTCCTACTTGGGAGGCCACATTCTCAATGGCATTCAATGTTTTATCTTTTGTGTACATGACTTTGTGCTAGTCACTGTGGTAGGTGCTTTGGGGGTTTATAAACAAGACATAGTTCCTGTGCTTAAGAGGAGCTTACCATCTATAGAGCACCAACTATACATTTAAAAATGTGTGGGTTATTTACTGTCAGGCTTTGCTTGCCAATCCTACTGGTTCCTCCCATTTGTGTTCAATTGCATGTAGGCTGCTTTTTGGTCCCTTTGGTTTTTTTTTTTTTTTACTTCATATTTTCCATATATTTTGTACATTTCCTCATAATGTTCATCATCACACACACCCCACCATAGGGATGAAAACCAGAGCTTTGCAAATGCCACTTAGCTACATCCCAACCTCCTCTCTCCTCTCCTCTTTCTTTGTTATGTCTCTCCATAGCTCTGGCTTTCCTAGTACTCACTCTGTAGACCAGGCTGGACTGGAACTCACAGAGATCTGCATGCCTCTGCCTCCTGAGTGCTGAGATTAAAAGCATGTGACACTACACAAGCCTTCCTTATTTTTGAGATCGGTTTTAGGTTCTTGGTAGCTTTTGATTGATTGTATCGGGCTTTCTCTTCTGGTCTCTATAACCCAAAGTTGTCTGTCCACCTGCCTCTTCCGTTCCCTTGGTTGATTGCTCTTCCTCTACTGACTTAGTCATTGGCCTTTCTACTTTCACAACTACAACTTTGCCCTTAGGTATCTACTCCTGATCTAGCTCAGGGGCCTTTAGAACGCCCACACAGGACTGTCAAAATTATCACTTCCCTCCTAAGCCACTCTGGCCTCCAACCATTTGCCCAAACATGTTTATTAGATTCTGTTTCATGTGTACATGTGCATGTTGGTGTGTGTATGTGAGCATATGTGTAGAAGTCAGAGGAGGACATAAGGAGTGGGTTCATTCTTTCCATCACATGGATCCTGGGGATTGAACTCAGATCATCTTGGTGGCAGACATCTTTACCATCTGAGTCATCTCTCTGATCCTCTCCAAACATGGTTAAAGTCTGTAAGTTATTTTAACTCTTCATTATAAAATTATCACTGAAGAGAAGTATTTTCTTCTAACTTAATTTTTCTGCTCTCGATTTATACTCCATTCTCCTAGTCCAGCCTTTTAGCAGGTGTTTCTAGGACAGTGTAAACTTTTCCACTATGCATCTTGCATATAGTCAGATGAAGAGTTTCCTAAATCTTGATTCCATTTTCTTCACCCTGCTGGAGGACTTACCATGATCTTTATTGCTTATCAGCCCAAAGTTCCAGCCTGACAGCTCAGACTATTTATCCCTAACTTGATGTATATAATCAAAAAGAATGTGTGCAATTTTTTTTCTTTTTTTCAAGACAAGGTTTCCCTGTGATTAAAGGCGTGCACCACCACCGCCCAGCAACTGGTGTAATTCTTTTTACATTTATTTATTTAGGTGAGAGGGCTTGGGATAGTACATGTGTGGAGGTCAAAGGGCAACTCTTGGGATCTCTTCTATCCTTCTACCAGGCAGGTCTCAGGGATCAAACTTGGCCCAGGTCCTCAGGCTTGTTAGCAAGTGCCTTTGTTTGATGAGCCATTTTCACTGTTTAAAAAAGTTTTTTAAGACAGAATCTATGTAGGCCTGGGTGTCCTGGAACTTGCTGTGTAGACCAAACTGGCCTGGAACTCAGAGATTCACGGGCCTCTGTCTCTAGAGTGCTGGGATTATAAGCATGTGCCACGACGTCTGGTCATTTTTTTTGCCAATGGTATCTTGCTGTATCATTTAGGCTGGTCTTGCTTCCATCCAACATCCCCACAGATGACATATTCAGAGTGTTTCTCTTCCTCACTCTCTCCTGCGAGGAAGCCTCCTGTCCCCCAACCCCACATATAGTGAAAACTTTATTCTTGAATTTCCTTTTCAGCCCAACCCTTGTACATATTTTTTGATTTATACTGTTTCCCTCTGTAAACTTTTCTTCTGTCATACCCTAGTCCCCAGATATTGCTATTTGTTCCGCTTCCCTTCCCTCAGCCACTTTCACTCTTGTAGTAACTATTCTTCCTAATTTTGTTTGTCCTTTTAGAACACCTAACAAGCAAAAGCTGTCTCAGTCTTAAGAGGTATCTAAAACAAAATCTGGACCGGCTCAGCAGGTAAAAGCACATGCCACTGAAGCCTGACAAATTGACTCCCCAGAGTTGTCCTCTGGCCTCCACACATGTGATGTGGCACAAGTGTGATACCTGTTCTGCTGGTTTGTTGACACAAACTAGAATCACCTGGGAAGAAGGAATCTCATCTGAGGAATTGTCTCCATCAGATTGGATTGTGGGAATATCTTTGGGGGAATTTTATTGATTAATGATAGATAGGGAAGGGGCCAGCCTGCTGTGGGCAAGTGACATAAAAATGCAAGCTGAGCAAGCCAGTAAGCAGTGTGCCTCCAAAGTCTATGCGTCTGTTCCTGGCTTGAGTTCCTGCCCTAATTCTTTCAATGATGATATGTGACCTGGTAGTTGTAAGATGAAACAAACCCTTTCCTCCCCAAGTCGTTTTTGTTCAGTGTTTTAGCACAACAAAAGAAAATCAAATTAGAATACCTACATGGAAGCATTAGTTATTTGGTTCTCCCTGCTACAAAACCCACCCTCTGTTTATTCTATGTCACTAGGCCTGGGATCTGTCAGGCTAAGAGATGTCATACACCCTCCTCCTCAATCCCCATTTGACTCACTGGTTCTGTTGTCACTGGTCTCGTGGTTACAGGATTCTGATGGTCCACAAGTTCTGTATGAAGACTAATGGTAGTCTCTACTGCTTCCGTTGTTACCTCCTTTTCCAACCTGTTCTGACCTCAGTAGGATTGGGAAACAGTTACCATTTCTTCCATCTAACATCCCCACAGATGCTCTATTTAGGGTTTTCCATCTTTTTCTTCAATCAAGCCTCCTACCCCATCCACAACCCCACATGACTAAAATTTAAGATTAGGGATTGTCTGAGCCCAGTGCTAGCAAGGATTATGTATGTATTCCACTCAAGAAGTCCCTTGATTGCCCCTGCTTCATGTGTTAATAAGCCAGCTGACTAGCTTCCGTCTTCCTTCTCCCAGCTACAGTTAACAGGTCTGTTTGGGACCCACTTCCTAGTTTCTACCTGCCAGGTTTTATTTTCTTACTTGTTTTCTTTTTTTTCCTGGGACAGTCTTACTAAATAATCCTGGCTATGTAGCCCAGTCTGACCTTCAGCCCATGGCAATCCTCCTGCCTCTGCCTCCCAAGTGGTGGGATTATCGGAGTGAACAACCATCCTAGTACCAATTTTCATTCTTGCTAATCAGTTACATTCCTCCTGCACTTCCCAGTTTCTGTTTGACAGTTATTTATCCTGACGCTCTTAGATGGAGAAGTCACTCACCAACCTGTCCTCCGACTCAAACATGGAGTAATCAACAGTGAAGTTTGCACTAAACTCATCTGGAGAAGAAAAAAAAAAAAAGAAGAAAGAAAGAAAGAAAAGGGGAAGAAACTGCTCAGAATATTTCATGCTCAGAATACTCGACCTTACCTAAGTTATAAAACGTGTTGGTACAACCTACTTCTAGTTATTTTTAGTGTCAAAAATGTTTGTGAGTTGGAGCTGGCAAGATGGCTTAGTAGTTAAGAAAATGTATTTCTCTTTCAGAGGACCTGGGTTTAGTTTCTAGAATCCATACTGAGCAGTTTTCAGTCTCTCTCAACTCCAGGTCCAGTAGGATTTGACACCTCTGATCTCCATGGCAACTCTACTGACGTTACAAGTACACACTCCAATATACATAATTTAAAATAATAATGAAAACTAAATCTTTTTTGTTTTGCTTTTTGAGACAGGGCTTTTCTGTTTAACAACCTTAGCTGTCCTGGAACTCACTCTGTAGACCAGGACAGAGATCCAACAGCCCTTTGCCTCTTAAGCACTGGGATTAAAGGCATGCCTTATCACACTTGGCTTAATCTTTTAAAATGGCTAATATGTATAGATTTATGCTGTCAATCTAGTGTCTAAAGTAATTTACAAATGGGAAAATTTCCAAATTATCCCAAACATTTTCCAAAGAATAAAAATATAATGAGTTTAAGAGGCTGGAGAGACAGCTTAGAGGTGAAGAACACTGGCTGCTCTTGCAGAGGACCTGGTTTCAGTTCCCAGCAGCCACTTGTTGGCTCACAGCCATCTGGAACTCCGGTTACAGGGGATTCAATGCACTCTTCTGATATCTGTAGGCACCAGGCATACACACAGACACACTTGCAGGCAAAATATTCATACACATAAAATAATTTTTAATTTAAAAAAACACGAGCTTGAGAAAAAAATACCAAGAGTCTTTATAGGTCTTGCTCACAGCCAAAATTTTGTCTGATCCCCGTGTTCTGTTGCAAAGTGAAGGGCAATCTCTGAATTAAGTATTACCCAAATCTCCTCCTACCCACTAAGAGGCAGAGCCTTTCTCATACGCACCATAATTAGTGGTAACTGTGTAATAATAATATGCCACTTGGTAGTAATCATCCTCTTCCAGCTCTTCTTCTTCCTCGTATTCCTGTCCTGCAGGGACAAGAGCTACATGTCAAAAGCATCTGGAGCTCCTTAGCAACAGCACACATGGAGTTGATCTCAGATCTCTTAGTTTTCCTACTTTCTGCCTCCTCTCCAGAGGTCTCATCTCCCTGCCCCTGGTCCTCCAAACCCACCCAGTCTCCTGACTCCCAGCTCGAGGAACTCCTAGGACAGAAACCAGATCCTTTCACATACTCTAAGCCCCAAGGGAGATGTAAACCTTTTATATGTGGAAGACAGAGACCAGAAATTTAGAAACTCATATAGATTCCATATGCTCCCAAATTTTTGATACTTGGGAGAGATCTTATCAGCATTTCTCACACAAACAGTAACAGCTTTTAGATTCACTTCTAGTTTCACTGCTAACTAAGCAGAAGTTTGAACAGTCCATTTATATCCACCGCCCCCAACCCCACACTTTTTTTTTTTGAGACAGGGCTCTCTACACAGCCCTGGCTGTCCTGAAACTCACTGTGTAGACTAGTCCAGTCTTGAACTCACAGAGATCTGCCTCCCAAATGCCAGGATTTAAGGCGTGCACCACCACAGCCGGCCTCACATCGCCTTCCTTAAAATGAGTCAGCTGGACCAAATGACCCTTCATAGCTTTTCTTCCCTTCCAAAACTAAAAATGTGTGGCACTGATAGTTGAATCCAGAATTCTAGGCCTTCTGTTAAACACATTCCACTAACCCCAAACTAAGGACACAGGATTTAAAGGAAAGGAAAACAATGAGACACACCTGGCAGACTGGAGAACAAAGAAGGGAAGGAGCCAAGCTACTCTTGGGACTCTGTCCCTAAAGGCAGCCAGTTTTCTACTATCCTGTAAGGCAATCCATATTTATGTCTCTTTTTTTAAAGACAGGGGTTCAGTAAGTATCCCTAACCAGCAAAGAACTCACAGAGATCCTCCTGTCTCTGCCTCTAGAATGCTGGAATTAAAGGAGAGAGCAACCACACCCAGCTTGGATTTGTTTTTTGATATAGGGGGTATTTATTTATTTGAGACAGGGTTTCTCTATGTATCCCTGGATGTTCTGGAGCTTGTTTTGGAGAGCAGACTGGCCCCAACTCAGAGATTTGCCTGCCTCTGCCTGAGTACTGGGACTTAAAGGGGTGAGCCACCATGCCTGGCTGAGGGGGCATATTTTGAATCTGGAGCTAGCCAGGGACTCACTGTGTAGATTGACCTTGAATTTTTGGTCCTTTCCCTTCTATGTCCCAAGAACTGGGGCATGTGGCATCAAGCTTGGCTCTCACACCTATGTCTTTCCTAGTAAGGATGAGTGTGTGTGTGTGTGTGTGTGTGTGTGTGTATGTATGTGTGTGTGTGTTTTCCCCCATTCTATTTTGTGGGAAGGAGCTACTCTGGCTTCTCTCACTAGTTTCACTCCCTGGCTTCTGAGTTTGGTCTTGCTGAAGGAACTCTGTTTGGGACTCCATCCTCTGTCAATCAGCCTTCTCTATTCTGACAGGATTTGGCTTTGCTTTCCTTTTGCTTTTACTGGCTCCACCTTCCAGATCTTGACTTTGCCCCCAACCCTGGACTCCAGCAGCTGAGAAAGCACCATCACTCCCGGCTGGCATGCCCACTTACCTTCTCTTTACATCTTTTCTCTCATCCCGTTTATAAAGAAGAACTGGTACAAAAGCTCAGGGTCAGAAGTAGACTTACCCAGGATAAGTGGCACAACAAGGAGGGCTATAAAGAGGACATCCATCCTGGATTTGGCACTATCGCTGTGAAAGGAAAAAGAGGAAATTGCACTGTTTCCCACCGACCGCACTTACCCCGCCTCCCGCTGCTGTGAAGCTGGGAGGGAGCAGGGATTCTTCTTCCAGGGGATAAAACTCTCCGCCTACTTGCTCAGTAGATCTGCTACATAGCTGCTGGACTGAGGGGCAAGCCAGTCTGATGGATGCAAACAATGTTACTCTTGGACAGCCCCTAGCCCTAGATTAGGCCCACTTGGGACTTCCACTACTGGGACCAAAGTTTATACTCTCTCTCTCTCTCTCTCTCTCTCCCTCCCTATTTCTCTCCCTCTTCCTCTCCCTCTCTCCCTCTTTCCTTCTCTCTCTCCCTCCTCCCCTCCAAATCATCCTAAAAGTTTTTTTTTTCTTTTGGTGTTTCAAGACAGGGTTCTCTGTAGCTTTGGAGGCTGCCCTAGCCTTGAATTCACAGAGATCCTCCTGTCTCTGTCGAGAGTGCTGGGATTGGAGGTGTGTGCCATCAGCCTCCTACTTGCAATCCTTAACTTACCATTGCCATGCACAGTTGTTCTTTACTCACAATCTCTTTTATCACTGGGAATGATGAGAGGAAGGGCTGAGGACTTTTTCTAGACAGTAAATAAATTGTGCCTCTTCTCTGCCTGTCTTGGCTGTGGAGGATGGGCGTGATGTTTATGAACCATTGTTTGACTCCCAAATCTCCTTCTGCATTGCTGCTGATAAAAATCTCATAGCTGTCAGGTCCAAAGGAAGCTCCAGTTTCCCCACCTCCAAAAGGCAGTTAGTTCATATATCCAGAAATGAGCTCATCCTGGACTATAGGAGTATTTCTGGAAGTTAGATTTAAAAAGCCAGCATTCCACAGGAACTTGTGAAACTGGTTCCCATCTAACAAATGGAGTCATTTCCCTTCCCCTTGGCAGAAGGGACACATGGTTGCGGGTGGCACCTATCAGTTTATCAAAGCCTATGCTGGCCTCCATGCTCCCTCAGGATCACAAGACCCTGTTACACATTCCAAAGCCTGCACCAGCATCCTAGCCTTTCTCACCTTCTCTCCACTATACTCCCTCCAGTTCATGGGCTCCCCACCCTCGCAGCTACTCATTCTTCTTGTGACCCAGCTTTCTCACTATGCTTGCTCTAGTCTGTTATTCTTTTGTTTAAAAAGAAGAGAAATGCTGAGACATGAGACATAAGACATGTTTATTATATGGCCCGGCAGCGTAGGGAGACTAAGAGAAGAGGAACAGGGCCAGTCCCATAGAGAGAGCACATAGGTGAGAGAGAGAGTAGAAAGGAAGCTGAGAGGAAACAGACCGGGAAACAGAGAGAGGAAACAGAGCAGAAACAGAGAGCGTAAATGGGCAGGGACCTATCTTTTAAAGGGGTCCTCTGTATCTGTGTGCAGACTTAGTTCCCATGGAACCTTGGGCTGACCAGGGTACTGCCTGTTCCACCAGGTAACAGGGGCAGGCCAGCATAATGCCTGAACCTTTCATATTCTCTACCCTACTATTCTCCCCTCTTCTTGCAGATAGCCCTGGCCATGCCTGCTTGCCATGTTCAGTTTACTTCTCTCTCTTCTCTGAATTCTTCCAGATGCTGCTGGCTGTTCTCTCTCTCAATAAAACCTCAGCTACCCAATGGTGTGGCCAAGTTGGCAGTTTCTTTACTGTACTCCCTTGCATACAATAGCCAAAGCCAATTACTTTTCTCCACTTTGTGTTGACCTCACCCCTTTCCCCCAACTTTTTAGACACAGAATGGAAGAAGAGAGGAACCAAACACCATCTCTCCTTCTGCTAGGTGCCATGCCTGTCTCCTACTTTCAGACACACGGCACCTTCCTTATCATTCTGTCTGCTCTGGTATTTTCTATTTTCATTCAGTTCAATTCAGAAGCAATAGCATATTTATTAAGCATAATGAACTAAGTCTAGTCTTATAGGCAATTGAGACCTCACAGACAAGACAATTAAAAACAAAACAGTGCTAGGTGTGGTGTCAAGGCCCTAATTTTTTTCCATTTGTACAGGGGTAACACACTATATTAAATATGCAAGGTCTTAAAAAAAAGAAGAAATTTTGAGAGCCCATCCCATATGAAGGGATGCTCTCTTGATCTGGACACATGGGGAAGAAGGGCCTAGGCCTGGCCCAGGATGATGTGGTAGACTTTGGGGAGCCCCTTTTGAGGGACTTACCCTGCCTGGGGAGTGGAAGGGGGGTTGGCTC